ACTGGCCATGTTTCGCATCCGTATAGTAGAACGGAGCGAATCACTGCGCAGTACACTCGTCCTTTAGTCAGCAAACGGGTATCTCGCCTACGCTATAAGCGACGTTAATTAGCAAAAGCCTGTCGAGCCTGCTGTATTCGTGCTGAGACTTCGTCAGTCACCAGACGATCAGCACTGGTGAGGCTCCCGAGATAAGTGAAGCGGTCTACACGTTCGACTACTTCATTCCCTATCACTAGTTCAGGTGCCGACGCAAGCCAATCTCGAAGCAACAGTTTGCATTTCGAGTGTGAGAACCGCATCCCGAACATGCTTGCATTGTTGCTTAGGGTAGTTAGAAGACTGCTTTTGGTCAGCGTCTTCACCGAATAGCACTCTGTCGTCAGCATATTCTAAGTCAGCGAGCGAATCTCCCGGTAGAAGGTGATTTCCTGAAAAGTTAGGTGGTGAAATAGTCCTCACTAACAGCATGTCAATGCCAAAGTCAAAGAAGAATGGGGAAAATGCATTCCGATGACAATTTGCCATAAGCTCTCACTCGACCAGTAGTTTTCGAGTAGACAGTTTGTGTAAGGTTAATGTACTGCTTTGTACATCTTTTAATGACAGACGTTGCCACAGAACCTCACGATCAACATAGTCAAATGGCTCCTTAAAGTCGCAAAATACCAATACTGACTGACTGACCGAGCACGCAAGGTCATAGTTTAAGAACAGCTAGAAAAACTTTTTACCTATTTCAAAAGTGCTATTCACCGATATTCACCTTTTATGATATAAAAATGACTAAAAATAAGAATGGAATCTTTGAGTAAACTAGACCGAATTATTCAAAAAGCCAATGGATTTCGGTGGTGCTTGCTAAACTGCCAAATGTCCAGAAATTCATCTCCTTTGATTCCAAACAATAATAAACAAACGCGACCCAAACGTAAATTGAAAGGTCTACGAAATAATTGTGAATAGTAGTGGATGGCAAAAGCAAAACTGATAAAATATTATGCGGTAATAAATAGTAGAAAACAACTTTTAAGACTTATCAGAAGAACAGGCATTAAAAGGTCAATTGTTGGTTGAAGCTGTTTCGGAGATTGCAACCGTCGGTGATCCCTAGCTATATTCTAATTCTTAGTGAAATTAAAAAGTAGGTAACTGATAAAAATAATAGTGTTCTAACCTCAAACATTCTTAGCCTAATAGCAAAAACAATTCTAGAAACTAATAGACATGTATGAATTATAGTGATTATAACTGAAGGTATTTTAATACTGTTAATCTAGTTTAAACGGTGAAATAACTTGAAAAACTAGTTATCTTTCTTGATTTTGGTTTTTAAGCACATTCCAACTGGGTTTTGCAGAGTGATGTGACCTAAAAAAGGTTGTTACAATGAATGTGTCTTTACTGGAGGTACGATCGCCCCATCCGAATAACAAATGCACCTGGTTAATAGCTGCCATTAGGCTCCTATATTGAGCTATTAAACGTAATTTTTGAGTTCGGCTCACTATTACTACCTGTATGTCTGTTTGGTAAAAAATATATCATGATTCAAACACGATTTACTGTCTGGGATATGAGTTCTTAAAGCATCGATTTTCATAGCTCGTAAAGCCTTGTTTTAGGTTTTACTCGATAACCGATGATGTACATTTATAACGTTGGTATCCTGGATCGCGTTTGGATGCATTCACAGATACGAAACTATCATCCATCTACCGATAAATGGTTTCTATTATATTCAGTCATTCTGCTTGTTTAAAATGAGGACGTTTTCATGTTTCACTGTCATTTTGGTTCAGGTTACCAAGTAGATTAATAAGTTTATCAAATGTCATTGATGTTCGATATTATAATCATTTACTTCAGTATTTACCAGTCTTTCAGTTCAGTCAAGCATTTGAACGCCTACAATAGCTCGGAGATTTCCTGGTGATTACTCGCGACAGTGTGAGGAATTTCAGTGGCCATTATATTTCCTGCGAGATATAAGATAGGGCTTGCCAGTAATCAAATTTCGTTCTTCTACATGAAGTCGCTTTTTGTTGACACAATCACTTCTAGCTAATTTTTACATTTTATCCTATGTATTGATCTCTTCTCTATCTTATTAAGTATTACAGTGTAGACCGCCTCACTTATCTCGGGAGTCTCATCAGTGCCGATGGCCTGGTGACTGACGAAATCTCTGCACGGATACAGAAGGCTCGATTGGCTTTTGCCAACCTGCGTCACTTATGGCGTAGGCGAGATATCCGTCTGCTGACTAAAGGACGAGTGTACTGCGCAGTGGTTCGCTCCGTCTTACTTTATGGCTGTGAAACATGGCCAATGAGAGTAGAAGATACTCGTCGGTTATTGGTTTTCGATCATAGATGTCTTCGAAGCATTGCTCGTATATCGTGGGACAACCGAGTGAGCAGCGCTGTTATTAGGAATCGGGTGCTAGGTAAGAATGGCAGATTGATAGATGAAGTGGTGAAACTTCATCAGTTGAGGTGGTTGGGACACGTGTTGCGTATGGCTAACCAGCGACTCCCTCGTCGAGCTTTGTTTTGTAGTGTAGGAGTAGGTTGGAAGAAAGCTAGGGGCGGCCAGATCAAAACATGGCAGAAATCCATGAAGTCATTGACTAGTGGACTTAGCCATGTCGGTAATTGTCGACTACCTGGTTGGGGTCCGCGAGATGATAATAATCGATGGCTAGAGACCTTGAATGACATGGCTCAAAATCGTTCGCAATGGCGCCAGTGCATTTATTCTTTGTGTTCTCTCAAATCCTAATCTTCTGGATTCTTCAACACCTCTAGTTTTTACTTTCTAAACTTATCTCATTTAATCATACTTCATGAATAATATCTTCTAATCCTAACCTCTCCGATTACTTCTAATACCTTTACTACCTCTTCTACTACTATTGGATTTGAATTGACAATTATATCTCTGTGTTGATGTGGTATGGCGACATGAACTGATGTACTTACGTACGAAGTTCTACGTTGCATCTGACTGACTGACTGACTGACAGTCAAAATCGTTTCTATAGTGCTTTGAGATTTGGGTTACGTATTCTGTATTTATTTGGTTCCAAGATATGGAATATATTTGTAGAATGTCTGAAAATAAATTTGGTTAAAATGTTCATACTAATATGATTTCTGAATGTTAATATTGACTAATTTTTGTCCGAATTTATCCTCAGGTGAACTCTCACAGACACGTGACGCTATTGCTCTGATTTTAAACAAGATTGCTGAGGATCCTCAGTCATCCAGTTGTCCAAATATATCTTACTCCGAAATAATCGGGCCAGTCGCAAGTGCTTACCCCACCGGCTCACCTTATGCTTTAGCGGTTGGATCGCATCCAGGATTACCTGCATGTGGAATGGGTTTTGGTTCGGATATGCATTTCAGAGCAGCCCCAGGCTCGAATCCCAGCTTTTCACCTCCTCATATTAATTCTCTTTCACCTGTAAGTCCAACTACCTCGAATCCAGCTTCTGGATCAATTTTCGGTGGAAGTTCTTCCCCAGCTGTTGCTGCTGCTATGGCTGCAATGAGTGCAGTTGCTGCCTGTTCTCCAAACGCCAAGTCATCGTCTGCATTGGTCCCAAATGGTGGTAGAGCATTAATGGGCCGTGGTGTAACTAGTACACACTCAAGTAATCATCAAGCTATTACTCATTCCCCTCATAGTCTTTTAGGATCTGTCGCAACACATTATAGTGCTAGGATTTCGCCAACTTATGGATCACCAGGACCTGTCATCTCTTCACCTAACTCTGGTATGGGTCTTGAGGGAATACGTAGTGTTTTAAAAAGTGCTGGCTATTCTGATGCAGCCACAGATGAGATTGCCAATGCCATGGATGTACTAAGCCTATACGGGTTTATTTCAATGTCCAGTTTAACTGGATGCATAAACTCTTCGCCGATGATTAATTCACCTCCAAACAATCATCTTGCTGTAAATTCCAATGCGTTAAGTGGAATAGGCAAATCATGTACTAACTTCGACTCATGTGGTCAACAATCTCCAGTGTTATCAAATAGTTTTCACTCTAACGATCTCCCACTGCAGAATTTTCGAAATCTTGCGGCAGCATCTATCCAAAATTGTGTCACTTCTCAACCCAGTCAGATATACATGCATAAACGATCTTCATTCTCTTCGTACCAACCTGTCAGTATGAATTCGCATCCACGTGCAAATCATTTAACTGCTACAACATGCAACAATATTGACACTAACATTGAAGTCATTCCAGTCATTAAAGAGTTGAATGTCCAAGATTCACTTTGCGTCTCATCTGGTCCGATAGTTTGTGGGTCGGTAGAAAGCCATAGTTTAGATTTAACTACAGGTCTTTATTCTTCTATCACTTCAAGTGAAAGATTAAATCCGAAAAGTTCCACTCAGTCCCCTGTTTTAGGGATTCGGACTGCCTCTCCAGTATCCAATATCTCAATACCAATCAAACGGAACGGTGTGACCACTGATAGTTCTACTAATGGCTTAATACCCCGTCGAGTTTCGGATGGCAGTGTAGGTGAAGAACATCATAAAAATAATGGGACTTGTCGCAATACAGCTTCTATAAATAATGACACTAGTCGAACAAATAGTTTATGGAATTTATAACATTTATAGGCACCTAACTTTGTATGTGTAAATGTTTCTTTTGCACTTGACCTTGAATTCATACTTTACTCATGCAAGAAATACCTCGACTTGGTCGTCTTCGTTGTCATTGCATCATCACTCATCTTGGTGTAAAATTTAATTTGCTTTTTCTCTCAACGCACATCCTCGTCCACATTGATTATTTGGCTTTGCAATTTAAGACTTTGTGAGTAGTGCTTTTTTATTTTGTGTTTTTATTTTGGTTTAGATTTTTCTGTTTTTTTCTCGTCTTTCCAGTTATTAACATTGTTATATTATTTCGAAGTATTGTTGTTTGTGTGCCTTCTAAAAGGGATAATCAGAATATTAAGTCATAGAGTTGTTATAATATCTCTTTCTTTATGTACTAAACCATGTGTTGTGCTATGATCTGTCCTCATTTTGACATAATTTTCATTATCATCACCGTCATTTTCTTTTTTACCATGTTTGCTCACATATTCTTCATTCTTTACAGTTACACAAAAAAGCAGAATGCGTAATTTTTCGTATTTACCACATTCACATTCATATTTACATTGTACCACCTAATCACGCACCCATCAAACTGTAAACCAAAAGCTACATACAAACATCATCCTTTTCATTTATCGTCAATTATTCCAGTCATATGTTTATGTCGAACCAGTCGGACCAAATTTTTGCTTGTCTTCCCCATAGTCTTTCCCTCCGACTGACAGATATGTTATTTGATATGTCTTATTATTACTAACATTATGTACCTGCTTACTTCGTTCTGAATGGTTTCTGTGATTTATTCTTGACTCTAATTTAATTGAGTCCCACAGTTATCATTCTTTATCACTCGTTGCACCTTTTCGCTTGGAATACTTCTGAAAATTTGATCATCCATCATATTCGTCCATATTGCGATTTTCCAGTGCCTCAATACATAAACAATACGCCTTCTTAATATAAACACATTCATACTTAGTTTTATTTTATCGTGTGTATAAATTAACAAAAATTCAAATTTGTTCAAAATCTGCCTTTAAAAACATGTATCATCTCAGAACTTAATTCATTTTTGCTTTCTCAAATAGCCTGTGATATTGTATTTGTCATTCTTATGAGGTCTTCCGACTTCTGCAAAGTTATGAAACCGTTTTTTATTAAATGAACAAGATTCTCTTATTTATGATCAACATCAACGCGACTTTTAAAGCGGTTTCAAAATAGGTGTCATGGAATTCATACGTGTTCTTTTGTCTACGTCACAAAATCATAAATATTTAAAACTTCATGCACATTATTTAGTTGGAGGCTTCTCTCTAAACACATCACTATTGATCCCGTAACATCATTGTTATTTATTTCAAGTACTTTGACGTCTTGTCTGCTACTGTTTGGATGCCTAACTCATATTTGTTACCTCCTTTACCTTATTCTCATGTTTCTTTCTCTTCGTTAGCCTCTATCTTCTATTCACTAATTATTAGTTATCTCGGACTTTTCAACTATGTTTTCGCTTGTTTGTTATGCTTCCGCTTGTTCGCTTTCGAAATCCAAAACTCATTTTCACAATTCTAGTGGGGAAACATTTCCAGTTTGTTTTATTCTTTTTTTAACTGCATTGTTAATTATTCACTAACACACTTTTCTTAGATTCGTTGGAATATCGAGTTTTGTACGGAATACATTATATGCATCCCAACTTATCTTTGCCTTTTGTCTTCCTTCCAACGTTATTTTCCAAAACGTGTATGAAGTTATTGTTGATACTCAAATATTGTAACTCAAGTAGTTGGATATTGTGACCTGTTGTCGTTTTTCTTGGTAGTCAGAGTTACAATTACGCCTTCGCGATTGGTTTTAGGTTAATTGCTTCACTGAAACTGTGAAAGCATTTTTGTGTTTGCCACCAGCAACAAGTTCTGTTTAGTGTTCTTACAAATGTTAGTTTTCACTGAGGTTTCTTGAGTCTTGTTTCCATCTGATCAGGCTTTTTGCGGTCGATAGGTCTCTTTTTGGCAATCAATCTATTGACATGCGGTTATGATCTCAAACTGCAATCAGCTGGCAAGACATCGGAAGCTTTTGCTTTTTCGCTACATCTTGTTCCTGTCTTTCTCTGAGGCAACTTGACTTCACAGGTTAAATCTGTCAAATTACAGTATAGGAAAACCTAAGTTGGATCTTTTCGCTTTTTTAATTTAACTTAATTTCACGGTTAATAAAAATATTCATTACCAATGTCTTCAGGAACTACTGGCTGACCTTAGTTTATTCTATTGCATATGGGGAATGAACAGAGTAGTGCGGAAGTAATACAGACTTTAGGAACTAGTTTTAGCAGAAAACTGTATGTATACTTTTGTTTCAGATCATCCAACTCCGAATAGTTTTAGACAGACTTGGCTAAACGGTTGAGTAACTGACGCTAGATTCTAACTATCAGATTAAAGAAAACTAAATTATGAAATCAATCACATGTCGCTACTCAATATGTCTTTTAAAATCTGGGAGGTATCCATGATGATAACAGAAACTCTTGAGAACTATCTTCAGCTGCAGTCACCGGGAAAAATGGTTAGTAATAGTGGAAAGCAAAAAATATGTATATTCTCGTTGAATATTTCTTAGATTTCCCAAACTTTTGCATTATTTGTTTCCCGTCCATAATCAGTCTACACTACTGTATATGAAAACAGTAGCAATATAAAATTAACTGATTTTATATGTAAACATTTAGACATAATATGGCAATTATATACTAGTTTATGCTTTCAACTCTCCTTCACTTGCTATTTCCGATTCGAATGAAATTTCCTGTCACTTCATCGCGAGCAACTTCATTTGGTGGGTAGAATTGACCATGCATTGCAATGAAAATACCTGGTTTCTTTGACATCATTAGCCCACCAATCGCAAATGCCACATTGAAGTCTGCATCTGTATTTTTGAATACACCAGGTCGAAAAGCACCTAGACCGTGGAGATTGTAGAAAACTTATAGGTTCTAATAATACAAAGAAAATCAGTTTTTAGATCAAATTTTAAAAATACTGGTTTCCAGATGTAAGTAAACATGGAAAGTAAAGAGTATACAAGTGTTACTTCCTTCGCATTAACCGGAGAGTGAGATCTTGTTGCTTCTTTTTAAAATGCATTTTCTTATATTATTATTGCACTATCACAGCTCTCAAGTGCGGATTATATATATATATGTGATTGATACTGCCATTATTTTAGGCGAGATACACCGTTTTACCTGACTATATTGGTGGAAAATCGAGAAACATCGCATGTGGAATTGATTCGCCACTTTAATGCACTTGTTTCAGCTACTGGAATGACTAGTTTCAAATCCAACTCAATGCATAACTCATGGTTCAATTTTCAAAATAAGTATTTCTAATGAAGTGACCACATTGGTTCGACAAGAAAATTTATAAAAGACATCCCATAACACCAGTGAGCATGTATGACTTATCAACTACCTCCTTACTATATAGGAAGAACATTTGTGTTTGGAAGCGTCCAAATCGCAACTCGACACTACACATTTGGATGGATGGTGCACGAGTAGAGTGGAGTGTCAAAATATAGCATCATTTTTAAACGCAAGTCAAAATTTCATCACTGACGCTTAGATTTAACACATACTCACAAAATATAATTGAGACACAGTTCACTATTTAATCTAAATATATAATAACGATTTCTATCCATTTAAACTATCAATCTAAATTAAATTAGAGCTTATTTTCCAATCACAGGTTTATGTACATAGTTTATATATATATATATATATCCGATTTCCTGACAATTTTTTTCCCAGAAATTTGGTTGGAAATCACAACTGTCTGTCACATAGATGCCTTATTACCCCTTAGACTGAAAACTGTATGCACATCTCTTCAGGTTATTATGTTGCTTACCTCCAAAATAATTATATTCTAGCGGATATAAAGTAAGAGTTTGGTGAGGGTCACTAAGTACAACAGATCTCTGTGAATAATGCATTATATAATACGTAAATATCAAGGAAAAATAAGTTGTTTAAGAGAAAATGAGGCATCTTTAACTCAATTACCCGGTGAAAAGTTTTCAGAATATTCATCAAAAAATAAAGCAGACAAAGTACCTGTTATCACAATACATTTGTTTTGAAGCTGATCTTTATAATTAATTAAATACTGACCAGTTTCAATCATTGTGTCCGTTCCATGAGTGATAAGTATCTTCATTATCCAAGAAAATTAATTACTTATTTGAATTATTCACCTTCTCAAGCTGAGTATTAATCAGTAAATTTGCAAGTTCATATCTGTCCTCATCTAAAATTTCTAAACTGTCCTTTAAAAACGGTTTGATTAGCTGAATTTTTAAGTTATTTGCCAATATGTATTGGTTACAAATTTCCATAGCATAACTATTACCAAATTCAAAGGCATAGCCACCAATATTTTTAGGATAACACTTATCAATTGTACCTAGCAAACGTATTACTTTCAATCTAATTTGGTTTTACCTCCTGTTTGAACAAGTAAAATCTCCATTTTATTGGTTTGATATTATTAAATGACTCAAACCAAAATTTAAGTAAATATAAACTGTAATCAACATGTCATCTAAACAATCACATTTTTGATAGATATTATGAATACTAATCACATTCACTTAAATCTGTGGCTAGATGGTTTATTTACAGATTAAAGCTCATAAATTTCTTTCATATGAGTTGAACTGCAATTCCCATTAAACATCAAAATGAAAATTGTTTGTTGTCCTCGAAAATTAGAAGTTACATTTGTTTTTCAATTATTTATTAATTTCATGGCATTCTATGTAACATACGGACAAATTCAGATGGAGTTGCACGATCCGAATAATGGATTAGAATTTCAAAGTGCTATTAATGGTGATCCAATTCAAGGGACTCAAATCGAGACACCTGGGTTAGTTACTGTAGCTGGTCCATCTTCAATACCTACGTCTATACAAAGTAAAGCTACAACAAACACAGACAATATAGGTGGTGGAGATGATTCTACCGGAAGTCAACTTTCAAATATCCAGCCAGCATCTTCGGTCGTTAGTATTTTTCCATCATATCGTCCTCAGTATGGAATTCCAGGTTACTATTCTACTCTGACTCCAGGAAAAGGTATTTTACCTGGAATCAGCTCATCTACAGATAACATAATTGTTACTTCTTTCCCTGGGACTGCCTCACCTGCAATACAGCCAGGAAATGCGGTATTTCCAGGTGGAATTATTCCGGGTGCAACACCTTTCCGACCAGAGTCTCCAGTTTCCCCAGCTCCTACAATTACCCAGCAAACTATACAGACTGTTTTGTCATACTTAGCTGTCCATCATCCCGAAATTTTTTCGAAATATTTGTTTCCCAAGCCCTATCAAAAGCCATACACTAGTAGCTACCTCCCAATGTGGTTGAAAGAATTCCCCCCTTTGAACAAATACGGTGATTACACAGTGAACCAGCCCTATGCAGATATTTACCAACCTGATCCTTATGATTATTATGAACCAGTTGATTCAGACCTACACTATTGGCAGAGAAGAAGGAGACCATTCGGCATGTTGAGACGTAGGAGAAGATACGGCTTATCCAGACGCTTTACCTAATACAACATCATTAGTGTTTTTGAGTATTTATTCGATAATGTAAACAATAAACCCGCTGTTTTCGGTGTGCACGCTACGTGTTAAATTACTGTAGTTAACTTGTTTTCCCTTTTCGTTATTATGATTGTTTTTATGTTCTCTCAAACAATTAGTTGTATTCATTGTGTGCAAATATGTTTTTCGTACTCGGTGGTATGAAATCTGCTAGTTCGTTACACATGTGTACTTAGTTAGTCAGCTGTGTCTAGTTTTAATGGTCTTTCTCTTTTCCCATTACATTGATTTCTGTTACCAAACATTCTGGGTAAAAATATCTACATGTCTTGCTAAGCTTTTGGGTTCCGACCGAAAAAGCAACATAAATTAGTAGCATATCTTGTACTCTAACTGTATTAATTTTACTCAACAACTGAAATCAGTAATATAAGCGTCATAACTGCTAATGCATTTCTTTGCTCTAAAACCAGACACTTTCCACGCTTAGCCTACGCGGAGAAAGTCATTTTCGGGCTTGTAACTGGATAGTATTGGACAATATATTCGGTTTATGTCTAGTTTACCAGAGTGAAAAGCGCGAAATTTTTGTTTAAAATGTGTTTTTTGTTGGTTTTCTGGGACTACGCTGATCTCCACTCGTTTGCTGATCAAGTTTATTGAAAGAACTTATCTAGGTTCCTATCACAATCTTTCCTGTGAGTTATAAATTTGTATGTTGTCCGTAAAGCCTTCATAAGTCTGTTTCGCGCCCTATGTCAATCAAAATATCTTTGCCCTCCTACATAACTGAAGCTTATGTTACCTCAAAGCTATTTTGTACAAGACCTTTCACGAGTAAGTCTAACATAGTGGTTAATGGTCATTATTACTAGAGTGGTCGGTAATCTAACATGTAGTGGTCACAAAGAAATAAAGTTTGTCGGTCGTTCTAGGTTTACATCCTAATCGTTGAGCGAACCATTTACTAGTCGTTTTCCCGGATCTATTCCTCTGATAAGCTGTCGGATTATAATTCACTGAATCTTTATGAAGTTGATAAGGCTATAGGAAATCTGAAGCGAGGGACAGCAGCAGGGCCTGATAGGCAACCACCCAGAGATTTTTAAGGATTTTGCTCCATTTTTAACAGTCAGATTTACTGAGATTTTTGGTAGAATCTGGGAACTAGGCGAAATTCTATCCTACTAGTCTCAGTCACTTTATTGTCCCAGTCTATAAGAAAGGACAAAGTCCTCTTGTGACAATCACAGAGGAATCAGTTCGACTAATATAGTTTGTAAATTGTTAGCCTCGATAATCCTTAGACGCCTAACTAGAGCTCGTGAAGAGCAGGTCCGAGAAATCCAGGCTTGTGTGTGACCTAGACGTGTAGATATGGACCAGATACTCACACTACGTCAGGTTCTAGGACATAGACATTCGTTCAGATAACCCCACAGTGGTAGTATTTTTCAACTTTAAGGCGGCGTTTGACTATGTTGATAGTGGGGTTCTGCGGCAGTGTCTGTCATTAAAAGATGTACAAAGCAGTACATTAACCTTACACTAACTGTCTACTCGAACACTACTGGTCGAGTGAGAGCTTATGGCAAACTGTCATCGGAATGGATTACTTCAAGTGGTGCTCGTCATGGTTGTCCATTTTCCCCATTCTTCTTTGACTTTGGCATTGACATGCTGTTAGTGACGACTATTTCACCACCTAACTTTTCAGGAATTGACCTTCTACCAGGAGATTCGCTCGCTGACTTAGAATATGCTGACGACAGAGTCCTATTCGGTGAAGACGCTGACAAAATGCAGTCTTCTGATTACCCTAAGCAACAATGCAAGCATGTTCGGGAGGTGGTTCTACCCCTTGAAATGCAAAATGTTGCTTCGAGATTGGCTATCATCAGCACCTGAACTAGTCACTCAGTCAACAACATCATAGAACTTCGTATTTACGTACATCAGTTCAAGTTGCCATTCCACATTAGCACAGAGATGCAACTGTCACTTCAAATCCCATAGCAGTAGAGGGAGTAGAAGTATAAGCAGTAATAGGAGAGATTAGGGTTCGATGATATTATTCAACAAGTAGAATCAGTCAGTCAAATGAAACGTATAACGTCGTACGTAAGTAAATCACTTCACGCCGCCATACCACATCAGCACAGAGATATAATTGTCAATTCAAATCCAATAGTAGAAGAGTTAGTAAGGGTATTAGAAGTATTCGGAGAGGTTAGGATGAGAAGATATTATTCAAGAAGTGTGATTAAATGAGAAAAGTTTAGAAAGTCAAAACTAGAGGTATTGAAGAATCCAGAAGATTAGGATTTGAGAGAACACAAAGAATAAATGTACCGGCGCCATTGCGAACGATTTTGAGCCATGTCATTCAAGGTCTCTAACCATCGATTATTATCATCTCGCGGACCCCAACCAGGTAGCCACTACTATAAAACACGAGTCGTTGCCACGATTATTTGGCTATTCAAAATATTTTGTGATTGATATAAATATCGGATATAATTCAATTATATATGGTCGAAATTGCCATCAAATTATTAAACCAGTTAATCGATAAAGCTAGTCAAATAACTATATGCGTAGGTGGTATGTAATGCCTAAGCATACATGCGCATACAAGCTCAACAATGATACAAGTACAAAATTTATGTGATGTGCTACAAGTGGACTAAGTCACGTTGGTAGGCTACGTTGTTGGGGTCTGCGAGACGATAGTAACTGACGGTTAGAGATGACATGGTTCGAAATCGTATGCAATGGTGCAAGTGCATCCACTCTTTGTGTTCTCTGAAATTCTAATCTGAATTCGTCATGGTATTTTTTTGGTATATACCTGTTGAATTATTTTTTCGGTCTCTAATTTTTTCCATCAGCGCTACTGATGCTACATCCGTTACTACTAAAGGATTTGAACCGATAGTATTATCTCTGTTCGATAGAAGACTGTCGCTCGTTCTGGGGAACATGTTTAGATTCAGATCATGCCCTAGTGCGAGCGCGTATTTTTTTGAAGCTTACTGGGCGTAAGAAAGCCTCTTAGGGTTTTACTTAATCATAATAAGGCGAAGAATATATTTCAGGAACAACTAGAAAGACAGTTAAGCGACCATTTAAGCGATTCCCATCCGGAAGCAGGATGGAATGACATCAAAAAGGCTGTGGAAACAGCAGCGATATCTGCTACTAAGGTTGACCATAAGGCTAGAATAAAGCCGTGGATCTCAATAGCATCCACCAAACTGATGGATGCAAGAAAACTCATCCCACCTGACTCTGAACATGATGAAGAACGAAGTCAACTTAGGCGGAGACTTATGAAAAGCCTACGTAACGATCGCGAACAGTGGTGGGTGGCGAAAGCAAAAGCGATGGAAAAGGCAGCGACGATCAGCAACAGTAGACAACTTTTCCGACTCATCAAAGAAACTGGCATTAGGAACACATATGTGAGTGAGACTATTTCGGAAAAGGATGGTCTTATTATCCATTCTCAATCCAGGAGACTGGATCGAGTGGGCAGAACACTTTAGGGATCAGTTCAACTGGCCTTTAGCCACTCTTCAGTTGCCCACGATCTCCAGTCATCCTGAATGGCAAATCGATATAAGTCCTCCTAGTCTTTATGAAGTTGAAAAAGCGTTAGGAAATCTGAAGCGAGGACGAGCTGCGGTTCCTGATAGACTGACCCCTGAGATATTTAAGGATGGTGGTCCAGTTTTAGCAACTAGGTTGACTGAGATCTTAGGTAGAATTCTGTGAACTGGACGTAATCCCACTCCGCTGGTCTCAATCACTGATTGTCCGAATCTATGAGAAAGGACAAAAATCTTCTTGTGACAATCACAAGGGGAATAAGTCTAACTAATATAGTATCTAAAATGTTGGCCTCAATAATACTTCGACGCTTAACGAAAGCTCGTGAAGAGCAGATTAGAGAAAACCAGTCTGGTTTTTCGACCTGGACGTGGTTGTATAGACCACATCTTCACACTACGACAGGTCCTGGAACACAGACACACATTTAGACATCCGACAATAGTCGTGTTCCAGGACCAAAAAGTGGCATTTGACTCAGT